AAAGTTGAACTTTCCGCCCGAAGCGGCGTTTTTTTTTTTTTTTTTTTTTTTTTTTTTTTTTTTTTTTTTTTTTTTTTTTTTTTTTTTTTTCTCTCTCTCTCTCTCTCTCTCTCGCCCGAAGTGGCGCTGCCCGCCCGAAGCGGCAGTATCCGCTCGAAACGGCATCATCCGTTCGAAGAGGTTTCCTTTCCGTCTCGCCAGGAGTGGCGTTCTCTGCCTCGAAGCGGCACTACTCCAGATTTCGTAATGAAGGGGAGGGGGGTCTCATTTCGGGGGGGGGGGTCTCTTCCAGGCTATCTTGGAGGGCCTGGGGGGGTCTGGGGACGCTGTTTTGGAGGGTTCTCCCACGGGGGAGGTCTGAAATGGCTTGTCTTGGAGGGTCCAGACCCCCTCCCTTTTATTGCGAAATCTGGAGTATCCGTCCGAAGTGGCTCTTTCCGCCCGAAGCGGAGTTTTAGTTTTCGCCCGGTGTAGCGGTCTCCGCCCGAACGCGGCGCCATCAGCCCGAAGTGGCTTTTTTTCCGCCCGAAGCGGCTCTCTTCCCTCCTCGTCCGAGGTGGCGTTCTCCGCCCCGATGTGGCCCTATCTGAGAGAACGGGCGCCTCCAATTGGTACAAACGAGGACGAGTTTCCAGAGAAGCAGTATTGTTGTCATGTGGCATCCTTCCCTCGGTGACTATGTCTTATCATTCCTCTTTTCGGAACATGAGTTCTCTTAGGCAACGCCTGCGTGGGTGGCGCACTTACGATGACATGTTCAGCGCTTCGCGTAACCCCATCCGCCCATCCGACAGCGATGCCTGGGCGAGATGCCCTGATTAGGAATGCGGAGGGGCACGCAGTGAATTACAAGGCAGGGCTGGGGAAGGGGTCGTTCTGCAAGAGGAAGGAGGATTGAGGAGGGAGGAGCGAGGAGGAGGAGGAGGAATAGGTGGAGCAGAGGGGGAGGGGAGGGCGGACAAGGATGATGAGGAGGAGAAAACTGATGATGATGATGTTGATGATGATGATGGTGATGATGATGATGCCGCTGATGATGGTGATGGTGATGATGATGGTGATGATGCTGATGGTGGTGGTGATGATGATGCGTATGATGCTGATGTTGATGATGATAGGGATGATGATGACGATGGTGATGATGCTGATAATGATGATGATGATGATGATGGTGAGGGTGGTGATGATGATGATGCTAATGATGCTGATGTTGATGATGATAGGGATGATGATGACGACGATGCTAATGCTGATGATGCTGATGATGATGGTGATGATGATGATGATGATGCGGATGCTGATGCTGATGCTGATGCTGATGCTGATGCTGCTGATTATGCTGATGCTGATTCTGCTGCTGCTGATGACGATGATTATGATGCTGAGGATGATGATGATGATGATGATGCTGATGATGCTGATGATGATGATGATGCTGATGCTGATGATGATGATGATGATGATGATGATGATGATGATGATGATGATGATGATGATGATGATGATGATGATGATGATGATGATGATGATGATGATGATGATGATGATGATGATGATGATGATGATGATGATGATGATGATGATGATGATGATGATGATGATGATGATGATGATGATGATGATGATGATGATGATGATGATGATGATGATGATTATGATGATGATGATGATGATGATGATGATGATGATGATGATGATGATGATGATGATGATGATGATGATGATGATGATGATGATGATGATGATGATGATGATGATGATGATGATGATGATGATGATGATGATGATGATGATGATCAGGAGGAGGAGGAGGAGGAGGAGGAGGAGGAGGAGGAGGAGGCCTCTTGGGGTGGCTTGGGGGTTTTGTGGCGGTCCCAGAAGCCTCTTTGGCTGTCTTGGGGGTGCTTCTGGGGGGCATCTTGGCCTCTTGGAATCTTGGGCGCCTTTGGGGGCCTCTTGTGCGCTCCTGGGGGCCATCTTGGGGCACCTTGTTGGGGCCCTCCTGGGGGCCGCGGAGGCCTTTTTTGGGAACAGCCCAACGGATACCGATCAAAGGGTACGGGTACTGCACTGCGTTCCCCCTTCTGGTGGAGCTCCCGAGGCCGCCTCCTGGAGGTGTCTTGGGACGCTCTTGGAGCTCCGCGGGGCGGTCCCGGGGCCGTCTCGGGGGCCGTCCCGGCCAGTGCGTCCACGGAGCTGGGCGTTTGGCGATCTGCCGACACGGCAGGCTGGCCGGGTGATGTCGCGATCTGGTGCCGCGGCTGGCTCTCATCCCGTGGCCTGGTTACCCGGGGATTCGCCGATTCGGCCAGCTGATTCAGTGATCGGGGTACAGTCAAGACGCTGAAATGAGGAACAGTTTGGGGTCGGAAGGGGCTCGGTGTTCCTTAGGCTCCTCCAGTGCTGTTCCTCTTGCCCTCCTGGGGCACGGAGGCGCTTACAGGGCCAAGAAGGGGCTTCGTTTCTTATTTAGCGTTCCTTCTCTGGCCGCCTGATCCAGACATCATGTGATCTTGTGATCCAGACAGTTCATCTAAGACGCCTACGGCGAATCACCGCCGCCCCCTGCCCTTTTGGAGACGCCTGTGTGGCCGAATGTTGAGGCCAGACCTGTCAAGCTATCGGACCATGTGTTCCCCGAATCGGTTTGGAAAGCCTTCGGGGAACACGTGGACATCTTGAAGGTCATCTTGGCCACCTGGAGGCCACGTTGACCCTTTCGGGCCTTCTTGGAGGACGTCTTGGTGCGCTCTTTGGCCGTCTTGGAGGCCATCTTGAGCGTCTTGGAGGCCTCTTGGGCCGTCTTGAGTGCCTCTTGGGGCCGTCTTGGGCCTCTTGGGCGATCTTTGGGGGCATTTGGGCCGTCTCGGGCCGTCGGAAGGCCGAACAACAAGTAAATGCCACAATCCTTCAAAAACTCATGGGAAATCAATGACATTTGCCTTTTCGGGCCTTTCTGGAGGCCCTTTTGGGGGCCCTCTTGGGCCGTCTTGAGCCATCTTAGTGCCATCTTCGGCCGTCTTGGTGGGCCCCTGGTCCGTCCGACGCCGTCGGAAGCCGTTTGGGGGGCCTCTCTGAGCCGACTTGGGGCCCTCTTGGAATGCTCCAGGGCCGTCTTGGAGGCCATCTTGGGCGTCTTAAAAGTCAATTGGGCCGTCTTGGGGGCCTCTTGGGGCCGTCTTGGGGGCCTTTTGGGCCGTTCTGGGGCCATCTTGGAGGCCTCTTGGGCGATCATTGGGCGATCTTTGGGGGCTCTTGGGCCGTATCGGGCCGTCGTCTTAAAAACCTCAGGAACGTCAGTGTTTTGGGCCTTTTCTGGAGGCCCTCTCAGAGGCTTCTTGGGCCGTCTTGGGCCAGCTTCGAGCCAACTTCGGCCATCTTGGAGGCCTCTTGGGCGCTGGGGGCGATCTTGGGGGCCTCTTGGGCCGTCTTGGGTCGTCGGAAAGCTGAGAAGAAGCGAATGCCAAAATCCTTCAAAAACCTAAGGCAAATCAATGATTGCCCTCCTGGAGGATCTCTTGGAGGCCTCTTGGGCCGTCTTGGAGGCCTCAGGGGGGCCTGTTGGGCCGTCTTGGGCTCTCTTGGGCCGTCTTGGAGGCCGTCTTGGACCATCATGGACGAACTTGGAGGCCATCTTGGACCATCTTGAAGGCCATCTTGGGCCAACTCGGCCATCTTGGCGCCATCTTGAGCCGTCTTGGATGTTTTTTTCCGCAATTGAGGTCCTTTCCGGGTGGCCGGCGGGACGGGCCGACACCCCAGGGGAGTTCTTTTGGAAAAGAACCAAAACCAAACCCGAGAGGGTTTAGGACGCCAGGGAACCCCTGCGATGAATCGACAGGGGGCGGCGGATCGAATGGCTTTCGGCTGATCCCGCCACCGTGCTTAGGTTGTGGGTCAGAGTTATCAGGGATGTTTCTTAATGTCTCTTCGGAGCGCTCTCGGGGGCCTGTTTGGGGCAGTTTTGGGGCCTTTGGAGCCTCTTTGAGGCCTCCTGGGGACCTCTTTGGGCCTCTCGGGGAACTTTTCGGGCCTCTTGGGGGCCTCTTGGGAGCTTCTTGGGGTCTCCTTGAGGCCCCTCGGAGCCGAGGGCTCGAAATGTCCAGTCGGGTCCCCAATCTGGGCCCCTATTGGAGCCGTCTTAGGGGCCTCTTGGGTCGTCTTGGCGCCTCTTGGGCCGTCTTGGGGCCCTCTTAGGCCATCTTGAGGCGATCTTGGAGTCCTCCAGGACCGACTGGTAGCGTCGGCAAACTGAAAAGCCGAAGCACCAAAACCCTCCAACAACCTCCAAAAACCTGAGGGACATTTATGGTTTTGGCCTCTTGGAACCGTCTTGGGAGGCCTGTTGGAGGCCTCTTGCAGCGTCTTGGAGGCCTCTTGGGCCGTCTGAGGGCCATCTTGCGTGTCTTGGAGCGATCGTTCGGCGTCTCGGAGCCCTTTTGGACAGTGTTCTGGGTCTGTTGGGGCCCTCTTGGCCCGTCTTGGGGTCTTGAGCCCGAAAAAGGCATGCGAGAAGATGCCCCAGTGCCCAGGGGAACCGCGCCAAGCCCAAGAAGATCTGAGCATTTGGAGCCCGCGCCCCCTAAAAACCCTAAGTGTCGAGGACTGAGGCTCAGGGGGTTAAGCAAAGGACTTGAGGTCACGCCCACCCAGTGACCAGCGGCACGGTGGCGGATTCGGTGGCACGGTAGTCCAATGATTTTGTGGGCTTTCTGTCCCGTGATGTGGTTGGCGATCAGGCGATTTGGTTGGTTGATTTGGTTGTGGCCAGTCAAATGGAACATCCGGTGATCCAGTCATCAGGCCGGCTCATCCAGTGACGATTATAGGGGGCCACATGCGAACTCTACCCCTACGCCCCACGATTTCTGAGGGGGAGGGTGGGGTTCATTTCGTTCGGAAGCTCCCGAGCGAAGTGAACCCCACCCTCCCCCTCAGAAATCGTGGCGGGGTAGGGGTAGGGTTCGCATGTGGCCCCCTAGATGAGAGGCAGGGGGCTACAGGGACCCGAGGTCACTCCAGCTCGAACCTCGCGGCACGGTGCAGGATACAGTTGGCGCCCTCCGAGGGTCGAGGAGCACATCGCGGCATACACATAAGCTTTCGGAGGTCCGCGCGTATTTCTCGGATCTGCGCCGGGTTTCCCCGGCGGCGCCTCCGTCGCTGCCCCTGGCGCCGCCTCTGGCGCCGCCCCTGGCGCGCTCCGCGCGCCGTGGAGAGAGTTCCAGCGCCGATCCAAGAAATCCGCGCGGAGCTCCGATAGCTCGTCTCTGATGAAGCAGTTTAGCCGATCCCCATCTCCACTGGGCCGTGGTATCTCGGCCTCACCATCCCACCACCCCATGTAGGGAAGAAACTCTGCGAAGCCCGAAGGGAACAGCACCTGTTTCCATCTAGGGGGATGAATCGGCAAGTGGGGCTCAGGCCACGCCGATGGGGGTAGGGATCGGTGAAACGATGTTCGCTTGCCGCTTACTGTTCTTCTGCAACCCAGGCCCACGACGTCACGATTTTGTCCTAACGTCGACCCCCAGAGGTCTCGACTCATCCCCCCGACCAGCATTTCATCCCGAGTCGTTTCTTGATGCTTCCGAGGCCCCGCGAGGGCCCCCCAGAGGCCGAACACACAGCGGAAAGCGGCGCGTCGTGATCTTCAATGGCTTGAGGGGGTCTGGGGTCTTGGGTCGACGACGACGAGCGACGACGAGCGACGACGAGCGACGACGACGACGAGCGACGACGAGCGACGACGACGACGACGACGACGAGCGACGACGACGACGACGAGCGACGACGATTACGGCGGCGGCGGCGGCGACGATGACGACGACGGCGGCGACGACGACGGGGGTCTGGGAGGGGGGGTTGTAGGGGGCCACATGCGAACCCTACCCCCACCCCCCACGATTTCTGAGGCACGTCGTTCGGGAGCTCCCGAGCGAAGTGAACCCCACCGTCCCCCTCGGAAGTCGTGGGGGTAGGGGTAGGGTTCGCGTGTGGCCCCCTAGGTTGCCCTCCGATGCCCCCCGGCCCGGCATGGCGCCGCTCCTGCAGCGAGGTCCTCCTCCTCCTCCTCCTCCTCCTCCTCCTCCTCCTCCTCCTCCACCTCCTCCTCCTCCTCCTCCTCCTCCTCCTCCCCCTCTCCTCCCCCCCCTCTTCCCCCTCCTCCTCCTCCCCCTCCGATGCCCCCCGGTCCGCCATGGCGCCGCTCCTGCAGCGAGGCCCTCGCCCTATGGCCCCCGTGGCCCCCCGCCGGTGCTGCTTCGCCGGGCGGCGCGCCCGCGGCCCTGGAGGGCGAGGCGTGGCAGGCCGCTCGCCCGCGCCCCGCGCGCCTCGTCGTCGTCGCTCGTCGTCGTCGCTCGTCGGCGTCGTCGCTCGTCGTCGTCGTCGTCGTCGCTTGTCGTCGTCGTCGCCGCTTGTCGTCGTCGTCGTCGTCGTCCTCGTCGTCGTCGCTCGTCGTCGTCGCTTGTCGTCGTCGTCGCTTGTCGTCGTCGGCGGCGTCGTCGTCGCTTGTCGTCGTCGTCGCTTGTCATCGCTTGTCGTCGTCGTCGGCGTCATCGTCGTCGTCGTGGTCGTCGTTGTCGTCGTCGTGGTCGGCGTCGTCGTCGCTTGTCGTCGTCGTCGCTTGTCGTCGTCGTGGTCGTCGTCGTCGTCGTCGTCGTGGTCGTCGTCGCCGCTCGTCGTCGTCGTCGTCGTCGTCGTGGTCGTCGTCGTGGTCGTCGTCGTCGTCGTCGTCTTCCCCGAGGACATAGACAACCTTTTAGAAGGCCAGAGGGTTTCTGAGAAGCCCCGCCGCCTTCTGAGAGGGCCTTCTCCTTCTCACTGGCGCGCTACTCTTTCGCTCATCGGCGCCGCCCCCAGCAAAAGCAACGCTCCCGTTCGAGACATCTTCTTTTTTACTCAGAGCTGGTGCTCTTCCTCGCCGCCGAAAACCGCCGCCCCAACAAAACCAATGCTCCCGCTCGAGACTTCTTTCCGTTTTACCTTGGGTTGGCGCGCTACTCTTTCGCTCATCGGCGCCGCCCCCAGCAAAAACAACGCTCCCGCTCGAGATGTCCTCTTTTTTTACTAGAGCGGGTGCTCTTTCTCGCCGCCGACAACCGCCGCCCAAACAAAACCAGCGCTCCCGCCCGAGACCTCCCGTTTTACGCTGGACTGGCGCCCTAATCTTATTTGAATTGGCGCCGACCCCAGCAAGAACAACGCTCCCGCTCGAGCCTCCCTTTCTCCTGAGGACGGTGCTCTTGCTCGCCGCCGACAGCCCCCGTCCCGACAAAACAGTCTCGAGACTTCTTCCCTCCTTACTCAAGGCGGTGTTCCTCCTCGCCGTCGACAACCGCCGTCCCAACAGAACCAGCGCTGCCGCTCGAGATTTCGTTTTGTTTTACGCTGGACTAGCGCCTAACCTTTTTCTGCATTGGCGCCGCTCCCAGCAACAACAGCACGCCTGCTCGAGACTTCCTCCATTTCTATTCAGGGCCAGGTCCTTGCCTCGCCGCC